TACTTTTACTCAAGTAACATTCCTAAAGAGTACTTTAACTTTTACCAAAGTAAAATTTTTTTTGGTAAGATACTTGTACTTTTACTCAAGTATCACTTTGAGTTACTTTATACAACACTGATGGACAGGACCAAAGAGCTGTCCAAGGATGTCAGGGACCAGATCAAAGACCTGCACAAGGCTTGAATGAGCTACAAAACCATCAGTAAGGAGACAACTGTTGGTGCAATTGTAAGAAAATGGAAGAAATACAAAATGACTGTCAGTCCACATCGATCTGGGGCTCCAGACTCATGTAAAGTGAGCAAACTTGCAAAATCAGCAAGGGATGAAATACTTGTTTCYTCCACTGTATGAYTGTCAGACTTGGTTWGATGGACAWGWCTTGCAGTGTAGATGACACCAGATGACATATGGATCTTTATATGCTAAACAAAAAGACCTTTAGATTTACTGTAATATTTAGAACCAGATTTTAGTTTCATTACTGTAATTTACTTAGCTTCAGTATTTAGTATTTTGGGTATTGTTCAGTTCCTTTGTGAGTTTTCAGAGATAAAAAWGAATATTTGTGTTAAAGCCTTCATCAATGAACACGCTAATCAAACACATAGGTTTTAATACAAAAACAAGAAGAATGAATGTGTCTCTTTTTCCAAACAAATTGAAATCAGGAGCAAAAGTTTAGGTTAATTTGATTATACTTACTGATAATCAAAGGATCCATCCTGGTCTTTCTGGTCCACTGGGTCTAGGGGCAGATCTTTTTTCTCTCGAACTAATAAGAGAAGCACAGAGAGGACAGTTCAAGCTGTTTGTTTACAGTAATATTAACAGAATYATTCTGGGTTAATGTTTTTAACACAATCATTCATATGAAACTCTGCATCAGCTGTGTCTCACCCACATGTCTACTGTTCCCCCTGGTTCTTAACAAAACACTAATTATCACAGAAAATCATGTAAAATATGGAGAAGGTTCCACACTGTGGTTCTCCTCGCATTGAGCAGGTAAAGTATGGGATTAAAATGGATTTTTAATTAGTACTAATTTAAAAGGAAATGTGTTTTTAAATGGTTCTCCTGTTGTTCAGTAAGCATGTGTTTGAAACACAAGCTGGACACAGACATCCTGGCAAGTTGAATCAAAGCCAGCTGGACCTCTTTTTGATTCTTAAAGATGTTTTTGTTTGTAAAGGTTTAATGAAGAAAGCTCCTCATTAAGAATAAAGAACTCCAGCTGCCCTGAGTAAAACCTGCAGAGATCAAACCTGACCATGTTAAGAGCTTTAGGTTAGATTTCAAGACACGTCAGTGCTTTTGTCAGAACTAAARATGCTTTTACTCTGAAAAAGATCCTTTGTTCTTCTTCAGTTTTCATTCTGTTTAGTGCTCGTGTCACTCAGTCATGATTAGTACAGCCATGATAAACCCACAGCACCGCAGRTCAGCACCTACCCCGAGAGTTTCATTGCAAGTCCAGCCAGAGAACCACCTACAGGTTATAGAAACTGTAAAACATTATAACACTTCCAATAATTTTCATTCCTTTTAAACAAACTCCTGAACCCAGACTCAGATCAGTGATTGTTAAGCTAATGTAACTGACCATCAGCCTCAGATTGTTTTCATYCTCGGCTCCATCAAGACAAACTGTTTCCTTATCAGTGCCACATGAATAAAAACAGCTCCTCATCACTGAATGCTGATTTGTTGGCAACTTGTCAGTGACCAAAAACTGAGTCAGAGTCAAAGAACTTTATTAATTCACCTGTAGCCTCCAACATACAAAACCAACAAAACAAGCAATATATAAATGCAATAAATAAACGTATGTACAAGTCTATATTCTCATTACAACATCTATTTAATAGGAGCATTAAAACTAGAGGGAATCAAAGAGAATTAGTCCTCATCATGGACACTCTGTAACTCTGTCATTATGAAGCGTTCTACTGAGATGATGTGGTCTGGGTTAATTCTCATCGTGAGGACTTTGTAAGGCCGTCCTGAAGGCGAAATGAAGGATTCTACTGAGAAGACGTGGTCTGGCTGGCTGATGAGTCTGGTTGGCTGATAACTCTCCTCTTTTCCTCAGCCACCTTTTTCTTCCAAAGAGAGCCTGAGTCCCTCTGCTGAACCAGTGTGGGGCCGTCAGGGACTTCAAGGTATTCAAAGAAGGCACTGATTGGACCAAACAGTTAAAAGATAAACAAAACTTCAATAGTTTTATTTCAATCATTGTTTTTATAAAATAAAAGCATCTATGGCTCTATATTTGTTTCCTTGTTTTCTGTAAGAGTGCTGCTTGTTCAATGGGTTTTGTGTTGATGGAATAAAAATAACCCATCAGAAATGTGTGTAAGCAATCTCTGTGTGTATGTGTGGGTATGTTTTTGCTACATTGTGGGAACCATGTTCCAGAAAAAGGCAGCCTTGTGGGGACCGAATGTGCATCGTGGGGACCAGTGACCCACGGGTACGGACGTTAATTTTGGGTGAGGGGTTTTGGTTTAGGATTCTTCATGACATCATAACCTGGAATATTTTTAGAGAGTGTTTGAAATCACCATCTGTCTGATGTTCTTATAGTTTAGAAAAGGTCTGATAATTCAGCAGATGTTTTCTAGATCCTGTCTTGTCACACCCAGGACACATTTCGAAAAAATATTTTACAACAGAAGTTTCCAACTCTTTACACAGTTAAAAAAAACTAGCCCAAAATGGTAAATGGACTGTACTTATATAGCTCATTTCTATCCAACCAGGATATTCACAGCTCTTCACACTACAACCTGTGCCGTCATTCACACAGTACTCTGTTAGATCTTTACAAAGCAGATAAATCAATCTRTAGAGACCAATCATTGCTTTAAATCACATGCATACACTGATGGGACATCAGAGGCAATGGGGATGAAGTGTCTTGCACAGGGACAATTCAACATGTCAGAATAGCGAGGAATCAAACTGCCAACTCTTGCATTAGAGGAACGACTTCTCTAACCACTAAACAATGGCTTCCAAAAACATTTATTCTGTCAATTTTGACTGCAGCAACTAAATGAAATTTGCTCTTTGTTGCAAAATTGTGAAACTTTTGGTGTAAAACATTTACTCTGCTAGAAATGAATGGGGTTTGGATAAAAAAACACACAAAATGTTCTAACCTGGGGCCTGAGATACCTTCTTCCTCTATTGGTATGGTTTTAAGGACTGAGAGTATGGGTGATGTCAACCCACCATTTTTTCTCCTTCTGACATTTTTTGCGGCGTCAAACAAAGAAAAGCATGAAGCTTACACTATTTTTTGTTCTTTTTCTCATCAAATACAAGCTAAACAGAAATAGAGAAGAAACACAGTTGAAAGATRCGAGAGTGTACGATGTTATACAGCAGTATCATGCTGAAGGCAGTGTGGAARACAAYATAAGAAGGTAAGCTAATGCTAACTAATGTTAGCTTGTTTGCAGACGTTTGAAGTTGCGAGTACAACCAAGCCAGTGTATCAGTCAAATGGCCTGCTGCCTGCTGACATCACATCTACAACATGAATCGGCCCGCTCCAGTCGAGATGGAAGTGGGCCAGCTGGAACCTGTGCTGGGCCGACCTGGGCTGGGCCAGGCCCTCTAATGCTAAAGGGACTTTAAACCRAAGCCTCATGGCACAATGATGTGATGCATTGATTCCCTGACATCAGCTATATGAATAATTTAGAATGTGCGATGCYTGTCCCACACTTTGTGTGTACCTCCTCTACACAACAACACCTTATGTTATACTCCACACCTCCTCTGGCTCTATGATACATGTTTTTTAATGAAATCTCACATCATCACCAAACGTATGATTCGATTGGTGATTTAGGAACAAGCAGAGGCAGCTTAAAGATGAGCTCATGCTTCAGGCCATGGCCCAGAGCTGTTTTGTGAAAAAGGCAAAAAATCTACCACAATTTGTTGGGGAAAAAGATAAAATGATATAAATATGGATTGGATTTTCTGGCTTACCTGGGTATTTCCCCCCACGACTCCTCTTGATAAAGCAGACAATAAGGAGGATCAGTATAATGAGGGCAATGGCGCACATCAAGCCAATGAACCACCCCTGAGTGGCGATGTCTACCTCATCCATGTAAGCTGGAGAAACACAAACACACACAAACACACACAAACACACACACAGAGGACAGAGGAGAGTCAACACATCAATGGTTTATAGTTCAGGAGTGGTCTTGTTCCAGTGAGCTCAGCATCTGTTAAAATGTTCAGTTGAACTAAAGCAGCTTATTTAGAGCAACAATTAGGGCATTTTAAAAAGAATAAAAATGCTCTCAAACACCATGAATGTGTATGTGTATGATTTATATTATATAAAAAAACATCTTGCCCTATTTTTCCATCATGGATGGTTCTACTTCACTCCATGTGTGGGTTCTCCTGGGTTTAAGTGTTCTTCTCAGTATCTTAGCTCARTGGTTCCCAACCCTTTTGGACTTGTGTTCCCCCTGAACCATTTTGTCATACCTCTAGTACCGTTTCAGTCAAATGTAATGATGATTCTCCAAAACTATAATGCACAACAGCTAATTATTAAAAGAATTTTTTTATTTAGCCCCTAGAATGTTTAATTCTCAGGCATTTTATTATTTTCAACTCAAATTAAACGTAAAGATAAAAAATGTTACCTTGAAAGTGAACAAGTAGTTAAATAAATAAAGCAAGTAATGGCAGGTGAAGGAAGCAGCAACGTCAAAAATACATCAAATATCYCAAATGAGCCAATTCCATGAAATTCCATGTTTTATACTGGATTCCATTTGGTGTCAATTTCGTGATTCTCTTTTCATTTTACACATTGTGGAAATAACAGGGTCCTACATACCTCAGTCCTATTTTTATTAACTTTTTCACACACCTGGAAAATTTTTCCATGTACCCCCCTGTAATATGCTTGTGTACCCCAAGGAGTGCACGTACCCCTGGCTGGGAATCACTGTCTAAGCTGATCCTACGCCTGAGCTATAGTAGACACAGATCTCTGAGGTTGTTCCTGAGATTTCTTGAAGTCACTCTTTCAGTTTGAGAGTCATATCACCAGTAAGACCTCCAGTCTTCACWACTTCTTAATTTCTTATTTCAGCCTTTAGTATTTCTTGAACTTATTGAGTTCTTTCTTCTTGATGTTACGGCTGTTTGGAATCACTGAATRCATCTAAATCCATCTGACTGCCTTCTTCTGTTGTTTGTCAGTGACAATGTCTGGTTGGTTAGTCATCATCTGTTTGTCAGTCTGGGTCTTGAGGTCCCACGGTATCTTAGCTTTGCTGTTCTCTACCACTGTTGGTGGGGTTTCCTACWTTGACTGAGGAAGCTTCAGTCCATGCTCTGCACAAATGGTCCTGTACATTATTCCACCCACTTCATCATGGTGCTCCGTGTATAAAGCATACATGCCTGCCTGGATCTTGCRTCCTGCTTGTATGTGCTGGACTGTCTCTGGGGCATCAGCCTGTATCTTGAGTTCTCAAGAGTGGTAGACCCTTGTGTTGCAAGGATTAGTGCCTATACACTGTCTTATATGGACAGTCTGRTTATTTTYAAAGCAATATTTTGTCAAATCATTATCAGTGGCTAGTAGCTTATCAGACCAGATTTGAGTRAACTTCTGGACTATTGGGTTCTTCATGAAGATTGCTATTGTCTTGTCAACATCACACAGTTTCAAACACTCCAGAATCCATCAGTGTGGCAGTGCAATAAGTAGGGTCGGGCAACGAGTCTCGATTGGAACCGGGACTAATGTTTCACTTCTCCCAGAATCAGTCGTACTTTTAAATTTTGAAACCTAGTTTCAATACCCAGTCTGCCAACTGGARGAAGAAGCTGCCCAACACCAACGAAGAAMGAAACCCAGGYGAGACGCCAAAAAGATTGTTAAATTAAGTGAAATAATCAGCCAGCGCAGTAAGACAACTGCACTTGGTAAGACTTGRAATGAGAAAAACATTTCTAGGCTAACAAGATTAATAATCAAATTCCTTCCGCTCTTGCATAGTATATCATCTCAAAACAAGATGAAAATACTCTTTGGCTGGATGGAAGTGTATGATTTGGTTAGATGGACAAGTTTTGAGGAGTACCCCTRTGTGAAAAATAAATTCATAACATCTGTTCATCTAGAAAGAACTCTGGTTAGATACTTCATTTAAACCATGAAAAAGTTTTTGACCCTGCCTCTAAAAACAATTGAAATTGGGAATCATTGGGAACCATTGGGAACTGCGGAATCCAAATTCAAACGATGCCCAACCCTAGTAATAAGTCAGTAGTTGCATTTTTCTGGGGGGTCCTTCAGGATCTGGRCAGTTGTGCAGCTAGGTGTTTAAGGACAGCAGTGTACCATGACAAATGCAGATATGGTCATTTTGGACTTTCTCTTATTGAGATCCTCAAAAACCGTCTGAAGGAACAATAGAAAAAGATCACAAAAAATCATCAGCTCTACTCACGCTTGTTTCTGTAGCTTGGTGCTTAAATGCTTATTGGTTTTGAGCTGTTTGTGCTGTCAGCCATTTTCTGTCTAATATTTTAAAATGCCAATATAAAAAATCTATTTAAATTACATTTTACATGTAAATCCAACTTTTAAAACACTCACAAGTAAATGCATAATGTTCACTCAAAACTGAAAATTAAATTTTGTAGTCAATCCCGTTCATGACCATCATGAGCTGTTCAACCATAGCAATAAAAAGTAGCTGTTATTCATCCCAGCATCACAGGCAGGATGGGATCGTTAAAGAAATGCTTTCATTTACATGATGAATCAATAAACCAGCTTAGAGTTGTTGCTATTGTTTAAACAGGAAGTTAGCTTTGAAACAAACTCATTAAGCACAGAACGATTTAGTAATGCCAAACCTTTTCTAAAATTCAGTCACAAGTTAAGACAGCTGTATAAAACAGGACATACACACTGTAGTGATGGAAAGTTTGGTTCATTTCAGAGAGCAGACTCTTGTGGAACAGCTCCCAAACAATTTTTAACTTTAATATCATCTTTAACCTTATATTTTAACCTGACTTGGCTAACATGAATGCTTTGTGTTGATAAACCCTTTCACATTTAGCGTTTWTGCATAACCACCTGATTTTGTGTATTTGTTGTGTTACAGAAGTCGATTAATCACCCATTCATTTCAAATCAGGTGAAACAAGTGAAGCTTCCAGGATAAAATAGCCTTCAAGGACTAAGTTGACCCACTTATGTCCCATACCATGATTGGTGTGATTGGTCAAAAGGCCAGCAGAAGGGGGAAAGAAAGGTGTGCCGATGGAAGTTGGCTCTTTTGATTCAATACAATTGTCTCTTAGAGTTGTATGTTTGAGCATGACAAATCACTACAACATTAATAATTATGGTTCATTTTAACTGTCCTTACAAATTCTCTCAAGTTCTATTTGAGCTACAGGATCTGCCATCGACAATTCAAACACTAGAAAATACATTTAGCTGAACTCTATAAACTGATCAGCCTTATTATGATACGTCAATGTTATTTTATTTGAACATTAGTTCTCACTAATATTGCACCTAGTCATAGTGAATTGAAGTAGTAGGGAAAGGGATGAAATTAGCCACCCATGAATAATCTGAACTTGATCCATCCATCCRTCAATCATCTGTCCATCCATGTATCCAGTTTCTTTCGTGGGGAACTCACAAACTAGCTCCAGCRGTCGTGCAAGAGGCGAGTTAAACCCTGAACCCATCACAAGTCCCAGGACAAAYGAGACAGACAACGTTTCAAACTCTCACTCACACCTAGGGATGATTTAGAGTTATTGTGCAAGTTTTTGGTCCATGGGTGAAAACTGGAGTACTCAGAGAAAACCCACACATGCACAAAGAGAACACACAAACTCCACACAGAAAGACCTGAGGCCAGCAGTGATCCTGTGATCTACTTGCTAAGAGAAAAAAAAACTGTACTGCCAAATTAATGAATTGGAAATAAAAATGAATAAATAAAAAAAATGAAGATAAGAATAGAAATTTGATTGCACTGATAAAAGCCAAACTACGAGGGCTGACAGATTGAGGGCTAATTCACAGTATCTTATGTTGGGTTCGTCATGAAGAGTCCTATTCCTATGCAATCTGTTAGAAGTRCAACATAAGGAGATGGAAGTGGGCCATGACTCCAAAAGCACAACAGATTATGTTCTTAATCTGAAGAGGAGCTACAAAAAGTGATACAAAAGGGAAAACTAGAGAATGAACAATGCGTATCTGAGGATCATGTCAAATCTGAAGGTTGCCCTGCTGGTTGTCAATAATTTTTAACCAGTATCACAAAATTATAAATGTGTCCTCTGTGTCCACATAAAAACAAGCAAGCTGAAATRAAAAGGAAACCAWGTTAGTGCTTTTGAACCAAACAGTTCTAAAGACTTTCWGAGGGTCAGAAGGACTGTTGGTTCCATTACAGAGTGGATTAAAGACCCAGTACATGTTTGTTTTCACACTGGGCTGACCACCAAGGCCTTATCCAGAGTGTTGTGGGTTGTGGTTATAATTTTAGGCAGAGTTTAAAAGAGACCCTGAAACTGTTAWGTTCTAGAAATCAAATGCTCATCAACAGATCAGTTTACTTTGTACTGCACACAACAACCAGAGATACTAAAAAAATCTTCTGCTTTAGCTATAACAACGAATCATATTATGGGGGCTGGATCAGAGCTCAGTTTATTCAGCCAGTGTGGTCCAATCACATCGTTTTATATCAGTTGAGAGTTCATACGGAGCCAAGAAAGCTTCTACTCTGAAAAAGGAGCTCAAAAAGAGAAAGATCAATACTGACCACAGTACTGTCAGTCTGAAAACAAAAAGAAACACTACATAAAGATGTTATAGAGGCTGTGAAGTTGTGCTGTTACAAAAACCTACTTCTGACTCAATAAAAGTTATGCTGAGTAAAACACAMCACCAAACAACAACATCTCACCCAGGTTTAACTGTAGACACGTTTAGTGACAGACCTACATGGAGACCAGGCCACCTGTCTGAAAGCCCGGCTCAGCCTGGCCAGGTGTCGTCTCACCTGCTTTGGTTTTAAACTCGATAGATTTGCTGCTGACGCTGTTGAGCTCRTGGGAGTAAACCCTCAGGTGGTACTTTGCACCAGCGATCAGCTCGGTCACAGTAATGGGCGGTGGTTGTTTCACCGGTACAACTTTCACTGTCTTGTCACCTTGGAGACACAAGAGAAGCACCAATCACACTCCAGAGGTGTGACCATCCTYCAACAGTGTGCTGAGTATCAGAGCATCACACAAAGCAGTGTGGAGAGACTGAATGTGACAACAGCAGGTTTACTGAAGTGAATTGAGACTGATAACAATGAGTTRCCCAGCCATCGCCATCAAATTAGCATTAAAACACCTACAATACATTACATGGTGTAGGTTATTACATTTACACTAGCACAGCTTTTTGATTTAGCATAAAAATGAATTGGGGAATGAAAAAAATAACACTTTAGGATCTGKTTTTCACCAACCTTCTTCTACCAAGATGAATGGGCCAAGGGTTCAAACCATTGTTTGTCTCAATTATTCTCACTTCATATCTCTTTCAAGTCAAAAGAAAAGAGCAGCATCAAAGCTTGCATCTTTCTGAAGGAAAGATGTGTCCGTTATGCCATAGCCAAGCAGTGAGCATGACCCTGAAGAGTCTGCAAACAAAGAAAAGGCTATCATGCACCATGCTGCCAACCAGTTCAGAGGGGTGGATGTCATCCAGTATAATCAGTTCAAAGCCATGCTCTGCACACCAGCCCTCAAACCAAACAAATAAAACTGTTTMCACACAACAGAACACATGCAAATCCTGTTTTAATCAATGGAGTTCGTTGTTTTACATTATTGATCTCAAAATCTTGTAAGTTTCATWCAATATTMAATTTTTAGACAAAGACAGACACCCCTCTGCAGAAGAGGACTGTAAGAAATCAATCCAACTTTTTATGCTCCACTGCACACTCATTTCTTATTAGGCACGCATCTTCATCATGAAAAAGCCCACTTTAATATTTGTTTTTAGGAAAGTGTATTTTTGAGTTGAGCAGCAAAGGTCAGTATGTAGATGGCACAAAACACAACAATCCAAATCTTCTCCTGCTGATATTCAGATGACATGAAGGATTAAAACTATTACCCACTAACATAAAACTCCATCCTTCCATTTTTGTGTCAAAGACCAAAAATTATGGCCAATAAAATCAGAGGACATATCAGTCCTGAGGACCCGAGCCCAATCAGTCCCCAGACTTTAGTAAAAAAACAGAAGTTTTTATAAATGAAAAAAAAAAAAGATTTAAAAGCACAAAATCTTTAACCCAAAGCAAAGGTGATGGACTATCCCAGCGCAGAAACTTAGAAAAGTCACATKTTCAATCACAGACAGCAGCAGGGCAGCCAATACATTCCAAGCCAGGCAGCAAGTCGGAAAAAAAAAAACTGCACAAATGTTGGAGACACAGGGATGAAAAGCAATTTAAACACATGAAAAACAAAGAGCACAAACAGTGAGATATCAATAAACAGACACATTACTGCGTTTTGAACCTTTGAACAGGGTTCAGTGTGTCCCATTACAGCTGAGGTTCATACAACTGTACATGCATAATTCATTTAAACAAATGTTTGATTCTTTTTTCATTAATTACACTTTAATGTCCTCTATATTGTACTTTTTTCCCAAAATTAATAAATTGCCTCATCTTTCTATAAATGCAACTTAAGAAGAAAAAACAACTGTACACAMTGGGCCTCATGCAAGAACCGTTCGTACGCACAGATTTGTTCTTAAGTTGTGCGTACGAGTGATTTAGGAGAATTWGTGGCATTCACCAATGTTTTCATATTCTAAGATTTTCTTCAGATACGAATAAAATTCATGAGTGGTCCAGACCTGTCGTATATTTTACGAGCAGTCAGTCTGCTGTTATCCAGACGGGTTTTCTTCATTAATAACTTTATATTTCGTTAGTTAGAAGATATTTCAAGTTGAAAATAAATCACACTCCATAATTATGTTGGCAAGAGGCTATTCTGTTTGAATTAGAGTTATAATTTTAAATGTAATAGACTAACGACATAAATTGGTTAAATTAAAAATAAATTGGCTATTTTTTATATGGCACTACAATATTAATATGAAGTTAACTGAAGTTTTGAGACATTTTACATTGTTCTTTTTTTTCAGAAACGCATYTGACACTTGCGAGAGGGGGGAGATGGCCAGGGGTGGGGGGTAGCGGTGCGCAACTGCTCTTCTGAGTAAATGAAACCTATGTAACACAGTTGTTTACACTTAAATTACAAATATTTGACCAAAGATAAACCGGAGCAGGACTACAGAGAGAGWTAAATATGATTTAGATTTTTATTTCTGTGACAGGAGACACAACATTAACAGCAGTCGTCATTTCATTCCTCGGCTTTAAAGCAGCTCCTTTAATTCCACAGCTGACGACKCTGCTGAAAATGACATTTTTTTTCCTTGATCTCCGAGAGCAGAACTTCAATCTCCAAACTCGYGAAGTTCTTCTTTTTTACTTTGCGATGTCGTTTATGAATGGACACTTTCCTTGTTCTGTACGTGGGGCAGGAAACATAGCCTTATATGGTGTTTTTGAGGTGGTAATTATGCTAATTTCCTCTCTGCGTGCACAAGCAGATGTATACACATTCATCATGTTTACGCTCCTCATTTACACACTTTTCCTGAAGATAGAAGGGTTTGTTGAATCTGATGTGACATATTTGTACGAACACTTCGTACGAACAAAAGTAAGAGAAATTTAGGATAAGAATACGAACATGTTCTTGCATGAGGCCCAATGTTTGTTCAAAATGTGGAAGGTGATAAACTGCACTGTTTATTTGCTTTTGTGCTACAGCGCTGAACAAAAAGTCCAGACATTAGAATACTGATTAGCAATCTTACGTGGTTAAGAWTCTTTATTAGCTTGGTCAAAAATGGACTTGATCTTGGTTCTGTTCTGTCTGCTCTAATGTCGTCTGCTCTGTTCTTTAACTTTCTGACTCTCTGGTTGGTTACCTTTCAATACGCACACTATGACACTATGTGTAACTGTCTGGTAGATCACTATGGTGTTTGAAAGGTCTCTTACTGTCCAGAGTTAGCTCTAGCACAAACTCGCTGCTGTCCACAGGAAAGTTGTGTCTCCARCTGATGTTTGCATAGTTACTGTTAGAGTCCACCGTCAGATTCCAGATCTCCCGCCCAGGTGCCACTACACAAAGTAGGGTGTTGAGAACGGGGTTAGGGGCAAAGGGTTAAAGGTCAAAGGCAAAAAGGACACAGTTGCAAACCATGCACTCTTGGTGATTGGAATCAGTTCACACAGATTGTTAATGTTCAACTTATTTACAGAGTCAGCAGGTCCCAAAAAGAAACCAAGAGAAATTCCTCTCAGTGACACTCTCCAGATCTCCTGGGGGATCTCAAGGTGTCCCAAGACTGGAGAGGATACATAATCCTTCCAGAGTGCAAAACTAAATTTACTAKTTACCTAAGTTAGCAAACAAAGCTAGGTTGCTTTACTGCTGTGGGTGCTGGTCAATTTGTGCCTCCACCAAATYGTACCCAGTAGTTGTCATTTCAAACAAAGTCATTTTGTACAAAGTGGTTGATAGTTTGTACAAATAAATTCCAAAGCTGTTCCCATGTCACAAACATTTCACAACCAAGTCATTTGCCTTGTAGATCTCTGGCATTGATGTGATGTTTCCTAAAAATTATTAAGAGCCTAACTGATCCTCAAAGGCCCAGTCCCAATGCTCAGTGCCACCCTACGCCCCTCTGTGAAGTGTGGATTCAGTYRAAGTGCACATAAATGTTAGAGTGTGCAGGTTACAAGTGTGCAAACAAAAAAAGAGAATTGGRACAGKACAGATTACATCATCGACTTTCGCCTCTGCATCGTAACTGTGACGTTCAACATRGCATTTYTTATTGAACCAATATAACAGAAACATACATATGTTWRCAACCATTTCACATTTACATATCTTTTAATTATCTATTCTAATTATCTATTCTATACAATGCCTCCTWAACGTCAAATTATGAAAYGTTTAAAAGATCACCATGAATATTCACTAAGTAAACCAACTGACTTAGAAATCTTTAGTAAAAGTAAATCAAACAGTAAAAACAACAAAAACGATGTCAACAATAACTATTTAAACTAAGGGAAAAAACAATAATAATGAAATAAAAATGGGTTTAAATCAGATTAAATTCATTTGTT